TGGCTCAATGTGCGAACTACTTTATGATCTTTGGGACAAAACAGAAGAATTTTCTACTCTCTGCAGTACCCAGCTTATGACAAGAGCTTCAAAAACATTGAGAAACCATTTGTGGATCTTTAATCCCTGTATGGATTTACCACTTGATCTAGCAGGTGTTGTCTGAGAAAAACCTTTACTAAGTTGCAGTGACCTCCAGAGCCATGAAACAGTCTACAGACAAGACAAAAATAGTATCTGCTGTGGTCTTTGAAAACTGATAATCAAATACTACACTACAGTAGTCAGATATGAAATGGTTCATTATCATAAGTAGGGGAAAAGAAAAAATGATCAGTTAAATATATATTTTGATCAATGAATAACCACTTTGAGTCTACAACTTCCTGTGAAAACCTGTGTTACTTCTTTTTAAAAACTAACAAAATACACGTACTTTGAGCTAGATGCCAGAGGATTAATAAATCTCCTGTCATGCTAAATGATGTCTGCTTCCAAAGCCTTCTAAGAAAAAAATAATCCTTGTACCCAAGTCCAATAAACTGTGCAGATAGAATTTGTGTGCGTGCATTTCCAACAGAGCTCAGTATACTCTGCCATACATTTACCATAGTGGTATTCAAACCATTTTTAATTAAGCTTGTGTTAAATTCATATGCTATCAATATGGCTTTCTCAGAATTAACATATATTATGTCCACTATTTTTATTTTGTTTACTGCATTTGTAATATATTTACATGCCCCTGTGTCTGCAATGATTACAAGGACAATTTATGACACTGAAAATTTTCACTTCACAGAAAAATTGATGCAGTAAATAAAACTGTATCATCAGTACCTATGATCTTCTTCCATTTAACTTTTTGGTAAGCACCCAAAGCTTGTAGTGCTAAGGTTATGTTCTTCTTATAGTAATTCTACCATCTGCTTTCTTTACATTTTGTATCAATAAAGTCACTGATATCCTAGTACCTAAAAGAAGTTTGCAATCCATTTTATAAAAATGGGTCTCAGGCATAAAATGCACAGATTAGAAAACAGGCTGTGTTGTAATACTGCAAAGTTAGTATTAAGGGGTATTTTGAAATATTTCTACAGCTTTGGTTGGAGTATACCCATGTGAATTCCTAATGTAGTTCGGCATGAAAGCACTTCAGGATTAGAAATTGCTAAATTATAAGTCAGTCTATTAATAAAGTTCAAGGTGATTACAACAACATGTAAATATGAGGAAGGTGATGTGCAAATATTAGTGAATTACACTAAGTTTTACTTGTAATAGTTGAAAACATTGTTTCCAGTGATCTAGGATTAAATCAATAAAATAGGAATTATATTTAGCATTGTGATGTATAGCTTGTAACTGATCTGTTATACAGGAAAATAAAACTAAAAGTCAGATGTCTAGATTCTTTACAAAATGTGTAAGAACAGCTGGGAGTCAGAGAATGGGATTCACAAAGCCTAGTACACTGAGTGCAAAATCATCTGAACTAACCTGCAACCTCTGTCAACCACTCCGCCTTCATACATGCAGAATACAAAATTATAAACATCTATTTGAGATATGTGTTAAAATTATATCTACCCTAGCTCAAGAAAACAAATAGCCTGAAGAGAGCAATAATGGTGCCTTTTTTCTTCAGTCTCATTTCACATCCAGTATCCCGGTGCTTAGCATACCCGAGTGAAATGTGATGCATATGCTCTAAAATCCTTCTCCTGTCTTCTTGAAGCTTCACTGGTCACAAATATGTGAGAGCTACAGGGTTTTTATAAACTCTTTTGTTACTGAAGCAGTTCAATTTTGTATAAGATAATGATATATTTCTCAGTCTGTAAAGGGAATTAGAATGAATGCATGACCTAGCTGCTAGGCTATTCCCCTGTAAGTCTTAAGGTCCAGACTTTCTTACAGTGAATGGTACAAGGATGTCAAAACAAGAATTTTGATGTGTTTTTATGTGGAGCAATTTGGTACCATCTCTGAATAATTTTGTGGTTTTCAGTTCACTCAGAGCTGGAATCAGGGTACTTAGATGACTTCACTGTTTACAAATTAGGCAAATTGTTAAATTGCAGCTGGGCTGAGCAGGTGAGGAATTATACCTAAAAGTGATAATAGGAACCTAGTTCCTTCAAAGACAGAGGTTCTTGGCTTTGTCTCATGTAAAGTACGTCTTTCATAATACATAAGTTTCTAAAGTCTATCAATTCAAACACCGTATAAAATTACTAATTCTCTACAGATAAAATCTTCCAGACAGACTGCTAATTATGAATTAACATCTTCTTGGTCATACTTATTGTGAGAACAATCCCTTGCGTGATTTTGTGCCAACTAGCATTCTCCCAAACAAATCCAAGCTATCATTCGGCGGATAGGAAGTATTCTTGATGGATAGTTTGCATATAGCTAGCCTGTTTTGGAAGCTAAATGTTCTTATAATATGGGCATGAGCCTTAATGTCAGCAAACAGTCCACACATCTTTAATTTGCTAGTATAAGTGTAGACAATTAATGCAAATGAGTTACATGGATTAACTGCAGATTGAATTACAGGATTAGTTCCATGGCATTGTGGCCATGCCTTTAATATATGCAGACCGCAGTGCTGCAATGGAGCTTTGTTGTATAGCAGCTGTTGTAAATTCTGGCAGTCCTCCCAGAACTTTGGTCCACATTCCCTTCTCTTCTTCGCACCGCGCCTTTTTTCCATAATTCTTCTTGTACTATGTACTATCTGCAAAGATTTATCCTACAGGGAGTGGCTAGCAGTTTAATTTTCCAGACCAGAATTAGGTTTACAAGGATTATTATATCTCACTGGTGCAGGTATACAGTGGAAATAGTAAAGGGTCAACATGAGTAAGCTGATTAACTAGTCTGAAGTACTAGGAGAAATCAGTAACCATAATAAGGCACAAAAATACAGTTTTTCCAAATTAAAGCAACTGGGGCCTGATGTGCACTCCCACTTCTAAAAATTACCTCTTATATAACACCAGTTCTTGGCCCCTTTGAAGTGCACAGTGGTCTTGTGATGTCAGTTTTATCATGGCTAGTTGAAAAAAATGTGATAAATTTTCTAGTTTTGCTGATGTTACCAAAATTTCCTGATAGGCCTCTATGACACCATACATAAACCCAGATTCTTATAACACAAAACCACCCTACTTTGGAAGATCCTTTATTATAGTGTCCTGCCAGTTTCAGAATTTAATTTATAATGTTGCACTGGAATGCAGAGACTTTCTTTACATCGTAATCTCTAATATTTAGACATCTGTTTTCCATATGCACTGCAGTAGTACTGCAAAGACAGTTGTGTATCTGTTCTCTATGGAGAAAAGTGTTCAAGGTCTGTGTCTATATTTATGAACAGAATTCTACACAAAAGTACTGTTCCTGATTCTTTGCCAGAATCTACTATAAGTAGTGCTTAAAAATATAAAGTTTAAGAAGAGAAAATTACTTTCTCTAAGAATTGATTATTGTTAGAGTTAACTCAATTTCCACCTCTTTTGAAGCATATATATATTAGTAAGCTGTTCTCTACAGCTTCCTAGATCTCTTTTGCAAAATATGTTTTTTCAGCAGATTTTTAATGATATACTATTCTAGAATTATATCAAGACTATTTAAAACACATTTTCTTCACAGGAGATAACATGATGCTAAGAAAAATGAGCACTAAAATGATGTAATTAGTATTCATGTAAAGTAATTAGGTGTTTAAATCAGCAGCTATAAATTACATTTCTACTTTTAATTGATGTAGTGATTTAATTAGGTGTTTAATATTAGGTATCTAACTGAACACAGTGGGAAAATGATGTTTTTTAAAAAATGGGAATTCTGTAAGGTAGGTGCCCTATTAATTATAATACCTGAATAAAACACAGAGGAGTAAATGGACATTTCATATTCTACCACCACAATGTAACTAAATTAATATAGCATGTATGTTGTTGCGAGTCCAAGCAATCCACAGATCAAATATGTGGCTCTGAGGAATTCTTCTGGGTAAAACACAGGTGTTAGACTACAGTTGGGTCCAATTGGCCAATCTGCTGGTTTTACAAACAGCATACAGAAACTAACTCGGAAAAAAACTGCAAGATTTCAAAGAGTCAGAGTACTTAATCTTATACAGATTATGAAGGGTAATGACAAAGGGTTGTATTTATTAAATTTATTGAGCCAGTTTTCTTCTATTACTAACCTTGCAGGAGGTCAGAAAGATTAACTTCTAAACTGCATCACTTGATTGCAATGAGGTCAGAACATCTAAGACATCTGTGAACTTGGATCTGCTGTTCTGATTTGCCCAGAGACTGATGGCAAAAGCTAGAGGCAAGTGAAACTCAGAATTTCTCTTCCAATATTTTTTTTTTAGTCCAAAAACAAACCCAAAAGATCTCATAAATCAGAAACTATTATTTCAGGAATGTAAAAGTAAAATAACATTACTGCAATACAGGATTTCAAACTGATACTAAACAAAATACTTTCAAAAAACTTCAAGAACATCTCCTGTGAGAAATATGTCAGATGACTATTTTCTGATGAAAAACTCTGTTGGGAAAGGCTTCAAAAGCCCTATCAGATACTGAACACACATTTTTAATTTATCTATTTCTTCCTACCTCTTATCTTCTACTCTTGACAGATGACTAGTGAATGGCTATGTTTAAATTTCAATTAACATTCATAGGAGTTTCATAAACGTGTGGACCGTTTAAGCGTATAAATAGAGAACAAAAGGGAAGGTGTGCAACACTTAACCGCTGCATTTTTAACTGTCTTTATCATTATTAATTATTATAAGTTCATCTGCTAGTTCCTGTTGTACCAGGTGCAGCTGCCCAGGTGCAGCCCCTGTGAGGAGAGGAGCGGCCGGGGCTGCGCCGCGCGGACACGGCCGGTTCCCGCCGGCTCCAGCGCCCCCCCCGCCCCCCCCCGCAGGGCACGGCCCGGCCCCTCAGCCACGGGCGGGTGCCCGGGGGAAAGCGCAGCTGGGGAAGGGCCGCGCGCTGCCCGCGGGCGAGGGGAAAAGCCTCGGAAACGGCCCTGCGAGACCCGAGGGGAGAGCGGGAGGTGGGGAGGACGGGCTCCAGCCGCTCCCACACGTTCCCCCGGAGAGCCCTGGCCGGGGCGGGTGGGTGTCACCCGAGGGAGCTGCGGCCGTGGGGAGCCCTGGCCGGGGCGGGTGGGTGTCACCCGAGGGAGCTGCGGCCGTGGGGAGCCCTGGCCGGGGCGGGTGGGTGTCACCCGAGGGAGCTGCGGCCGTGGGGAGCCCTGGCCGGGGCGGGTGGGTGTCACCCGAGGGAGCTGCGGCCGTGGGGAGCCCACACCGGGGCGGGTGGGTGTCACCCGAGGGAGCTGCGGCCGTGGGGAGCCCGCACCGGGGCGGGTGGGTGTCACCCGAGGGAGCTGCGGCCGTGGGGAGCCCTGGCCGGGGCGGGTGGGTGTCTGCCGAGGGAATTGCAGCCTGTGGGGAGCCCCAGCTGCAGCAGGGGAACAGCGTGAAAGGGCAGGAGCAGCAGAGAGGAGCTGGTGAGGACTGACCGCAGCCCCCCATTCCCTGTCCCCCCCGAGCCTCTCGGGAGGAGGTGGAGGGGAGGTACAGGACTCAGAAATGAAAGAGAGAAGCTGAAGCTGGGAAAAAGGTGTTGAGTGGGTGGGAGGAAAGTGTTTTTGTCTTTGTTTTTCACCATGAAAATCTATTTTAATAGAAAATAAATTAACGTTCTCCAAACTAAGTCTGGTTTTCCCATGGTGGTAACTGGTAAGTGTTTTTACCTCAACCCACAGGATTTTTCATCTTATTTTCTCCCCGCATCCCGCTGAAGAGGAGGAGTGAGGGAGTGGCTGGGTGGGTGTCTGGCAGCTGTCCAAGGTCAACCATCACACGTGGAAATAAATCTTTGAGAGAAACTTTGAGGTAAGAAAAAGAACATCTCAGAAACTAATCAGCAAATATTGCTTGAGTTCCTTCCTTCTTCAGACATCTTTCCCTTGAAACTTTCTATCATTGTGTCTCTTTTATGTTTTAATTTGCACCACAGACAGTGGTATTGTTTGTTGTTTTAATCCATCTATTTGTTTCGTGGAGATTTGTGTGAATGTATGTGTTCAATAATGTCACTGTGGATGCTTGTTTGAGTGTAACCACAGATCAATTGGTGGTAATCATCTGACTCAATACATAGTATGGACCACTAACTGCATGACAGTTCTGTGTTTACATGAACAAACTCCACAGTGTTACGGACTAAAAGAGTTTTTCTGCTCTAAGAACTGAACTTTTCAGATTCATATAATTGAATATCTCCACAGTTAAAATACAGCACATTCTTCAATATGTCATGGCAAGATCAGTGTCATATAAAAGTCCTATTGCAACTGCTCCTACTAGCAAGTAGAATCTACAACAGAACCAGTTCAAATCTGCATTGTGCTGACCCATTTACATGGCCTTTAGAACAAAACAGTAACGGTTTCAACTGACCTGACTTCAACTGCTCCATCATATATGCTGTTACACAGTCTAGAGAAGGCAAAGAGATGATGACATCAGAGCAATTAATTTAGATGATGTAGAAATGCTCTGAGGAGAGATGAAAAAATGACTTGTTAATATAAATAAGTTTATGAGAAAAAGTATTTTTCAGTATTTGTGTGGGTTTTCTATTACCTGAGATATATGTAATGCCTATCTGCGGTTAGTCCCTTTGTATTTCTCTAATTAAATTTTCTTGTTATCATGTGAGATAAAAGAACAAATTACATAAAATGCAAGTGGAAATCTGAGACAAGCTACTGCCAAATATGCACAAAAAAACAAGCTCAAGGGTGATAAGGGTGAAGTGGTTTTACTTAACATTGCAGCAACAGAAATAAGAGAATTTCAGAGCAGAAAATTATTAAAAATAATTTGAAAATCAGCGAGGGATACTTTATAAGGAACCTGTTCAACAAACTGTGATTTTATACATATTTGTATGTACTGTAGTGAGAACACAAGAGGAGAAGGATTGTTGCAGAAACTAAAAAGCCTGAAAGGCAAGTAAACAGTGCCCTGCTTTTATCACTTGGGTAGTCATGCAATGTGAAAAACATGCCACCTGCCTCACTTATTTTTGGAAGACTCCTGTAGTTCATACATTAAAGGTGCCTTGAAGGAGCAGAAAAATATGGCGCTGAAATAATAATAGATTCTCCAGGTCTGATGGATCACAATACTATGGGCAAGATTACTGTGTGGTTGCCAGTTCATGTCAGCCAGGGGTGTGAGTTTGGGCATCCCTAAACCACATTAAGACATTTTCAATTAGTTGTGACAATTTAGTACACACCTTAATCTAGGCTTAACACTGATGGGTAAGCATTTTTCTGCTTTCTTTTATTAATTCTTATATAAAGCATGCCAGGTGAGTTTTCAATCCAGGCAAGGCATAAGGGAAGTTATCTTTACTATCTTATTTATTTTAGTTGTGCAACTGAACCAGCAAAAGAAGTCTGAAGACAGGGCTCATCAGCAAGCTGATAGAGCAGCTAACTAGTAGCATACTGTATCAGATAAGAAAGACTGTTATTTTACTGTTCTTGTAATGGTAAAGAAACATTGGAGTACACACAGAAATGTTAACTAAATGTTTATTTTGTCCACTTACTGTACAAAATACCATGTGAGTAGAGGTTATCAAGTATGGCAGTTATGTTTCTCAGCTCCTACACTCCACCAAAACTTCTAGCATAAGGAAAGGGGGAAGAAGGTGCTCACTAATTTCTTTAGAAACATCGAAAAATGGACAGAGGAAAAATGATGCAATTCTGATGCTGATGTATAGGTGTTATGGGTTGAGTGAGTGGTGTGTATTTTTGGTGGCAGGGGAGGGGGCTATTTGGGCGTCCCCCTGTGAGAAGCTTCTGGAAGCTCCCCCAGCTCCAAGTCAGCTCCACCTCTGCACCAAAACTGAGCCCATCAGCTGCACCTCTGCGATAACGTGTTTAAGAAGGGAAGTGGTGACGAACAGTGGGACTTGTGAGGAGGAGTTGCTGCAGCTGTGTGAACACCAAGGTCGGTGGAGGAACGGAGGAAGAAAGGAGGGGGGAGGTGTGCCGGAGCAGAGACCCCCCTGTATCCTGTGGTGAGACGGCAGGGCAGCCCCCCCCCGCCACCCATGGAGATCTACAGTAGAGCAGACATTGATATATATCCTGTGAAGTGTTTCGCCTGGATAATTAGGGTGCTGTGCCCAAAGAAGGCCGGGGTTGTGTGAGAAGAAGCAGCCCCCGCTGCTGTAATTCAGCGCTGGGAGGATTGCAGCATGCGGGGGAGTCCCACGCCGGAGCAGCTTGGGAAGGGCTGCAGCCGTGGGAGGGAGTCCAGTCCGAGAAAGTTGGTGACCCACGACGGAGCAGTGTGGGGAACGCTGCGGCCCGTGGGAGGGACTCATGTCTGAGAAAGTTTGTGGAGGACTGTCTCCTGTGAGAGGGGGACCACGATGGAGCAGGGGGAAGAAGTTCCAGATGCTCCCCCCACCACAGATGACAGAAGCAGCAGCACTGACTGCACCCCCCATTCCCTGCCCCTGCGCCACTGGGGGAGGAGGTAGAGATATCGGGAGCAGAGCTGAGCCTGGGAAGAAGGGAGGGGTGGGGGGAAGGTGTTCTCAAGATGTGGCAATGCTGCTCACCGTCCTACTCTGTTACACGTTGTTAGTGTCTGTAATAAATGTATGTTCTTTTTTTCTTACCCTTATGAGTCTGCCTTTTGCTCGTGCCCATAACGGGTGATTTTTCCCCATCCCAGTCCTATCTCGAACCCCAAGCCTGGCTCTCTGTCCCTTCTTATTGCTAGAAGAGAAGGGGGGAGAGAGTGGCTGTGTGGTGGTTGGCTGCCAACCAGGCTCAAACCACAACAGGCTTATGGAATTTACTGCTGTGTACTTCACAAAGTTCCACTTTATCTTTTAGGAAAGTGATCATTGAACTTTTTATTCCCAGATGTCCCTTCCTCAAAAACCAGAAAACCTCTCTTTTTCTTCCTTACTTCTCTCATCTGGAAACAAAGTGAAAAAACTACACTCCTAAAACATCAAAAGCCAATCATCTCCAGGTCAAAACAAAGGGAAAAAGACACAGTACCAAAAAAACATTGCCAAAAGGGTGAAAGCTTGGTTATTATATGCAAGTCAACGTAAGTTCTGCCAGACATTCACCCTTTGTTTGGAAGCACAGTTCATCAAGGCAAATAGCAAAAAGAATTTATTTATGGGTTAAAATGTTTGAAATTGATGGGCACTGGTTACAAAACCAGAGCCTAGTTCACCTGTCAGAGTTTACCTACAGACAGTAAAACCAGTACTTGTGAGAGGTGCTAAACTACCAAGGTAATAAATCTACACCCCTCTTCCATTTTCTCTGATGAAATAATCTGTTTAAGAAAAATCACATTTTAAGAAGAAAACTACTGTGTTTATTCCAGGGATTTGATCTCAAGACTATATCAATCAGAAATCACGGTGATGAACACTTCTGTACTAGAGAATTCTATACTGCATATATGACCTATGTGAGATTGAATCTATAAATTGATACTTCAGAACCTCATCTAAAATTTCAGGTTTTGTCGATCAGAAAAGTGATCTGGGTTTTATAAGATGTTCCAGCCACAGCCTGTTTATTTGCTGTTCTCCGTTCTATCACTGCTTCTTTTGTATAGAAAGAAACAAAGATATATCCTTCATCAAATATGCCTGTTTCTTGAAAAATATTTTAATTGACTAATTAGAATTCTTGAGTGGGAAAGAAATCAGCTTCAAATGAATGAGGCCTTCAGACAAGCTGAACTCATCATTTGTTAAATATGCAAAAAATTAAAATAATTCTCTCCAAGATGCCAGAGATTCTTCAAAAGTTCAAATATATATTTTTGAAACACCAGAAATTATTCACAATAAAAATATTTGGAATGGAGAAACTTTATAATTTATATATTTATATTATTTTTAATTTATATACAGACAATGGAAAGAGTCTGAAAAGCCTTGCCAGGAAGTGATGGATTTTCTCTTCTTATTCATACCTCTTTTAGAAACAGAATAAGCAAGAACATTTGTAATATGTTCTGCTGTCTATCAGGTTATTTAATCAGAATTCCACATAGTTTTCTTTTGGTGTGAAATATAACAGGAACAATTGTCTGTATTTCTTCTGTTAACAGAATAATATCACTGAAAGATTGAAGCAAGAAGGAGAACACTGAAATACTATAACTACTGGGCTTGTGTGACTTAATGCGAAAACAGAAACAGATGAACAGAAGTGATGAAAGGCTAAGTTCAGTTTGGCAAGTGGTAGTTTTTAAACACATAATTAAGTATTAGCTTTGCAGCCTAAGTGATCTGCTCTACATTTTTGTCCTTATGTGCACTTTCCCATCAGTCCCTGTTGTCATCTCCTGTTCTGCCAGGATCGGTGTATCAATTTCTTGGTTTTCAAAGAAAGATGAAAACAAAATGTACATCTAGGAGCTTAGATTTTTTTGTTGTTTATATGTATGTGTAATATAAACCAAATTATTTAGGGAGGGTTTTTTCATACTTTGTAAGGAAGCATAATTCAAGAGAGGGATACATGAAGAACTGTTTCATTGTACTCTTAAAAGAGCTTCCAGGGAGTCATTTCATTATAGTTTACCCATATGCTGCTATAGTCAGTGGCCCAAAGTAGCTGATTTCACACCTGTTTTACCTATTGCCAATGCATTTCCCCGGGCAATCATCATTATATTGCATATCAGAAGTCAATGTAATCTTTTAACACAGAGGTGCAAGTCAAATAAAAATAAATGCTAGGCTCCAACATTATTACTTCATTAATACTATCATGACAAGAACAATTTTGAAAGGCAAAAAAAAAATTCTCAAAACCCTATTTTTGCTTTATGGCTTAGAACAATGGGACAAGAATAAATCTTTTAAAAAGACATTTTTAGTTTATGCCAAGTAAAGTGTAAGCATAATGGAAAAGTTCCAATAATTACCTTAGTGTATAGACAAAGAGTTTGTTCTCATAGTATACATCATCCCAATTTATATTTAGCAAGAAGATGAAAAGCAAAAAGATAAATGTATTTGCTTATGAACAAGTTCATGTCTGTGGTCAGCAGATTAGGAAAAACCCTCAGTAACACTTCATGCTCATCTTCGGACCTAAAGTTATCTCTTTGACTGAGATTTAAAAAGTATAAATGATAATTAAAGGATTTGTTTGTTCTTCAAAATATGGCTGAGTTTTCACTGAAAGCAGATCATTGAATAGCTCATTTCAGTTTTGTCACCTTTCGCACACAGTATGCCTGTCAAACACGAACATATCTCAGCATCCCACCCGAGGAAGGCATATTAAAAAGGGCAACATAACAAATAGCTAACTACCAGAATATAGGGTTGGGATTTTTTTCTGTGACCACTACCTAGCTGAAAAAGTTCTCTGTCCTCTACGTGCTGTCTCTAAGCACTGGATACTAACTGGAATAGGATCCTAAGCTAAATATAACTTTGGTCCAGTGTGGAACAGTTGTTATGATACATATGTATTTATAAACACATGTACACATATATACATGTACAAGAAAGACATTTAAGAAAATAAAGATAATATAACAGATTATATGGGTTGTCTTAGGCAAACATATTCTTTTTGGCTGTTAAATACAATAACCCCAAATGTGATTTTAATCTCAAAATCCCCCAAAAGATAGAGGTGGCTTCATGAGGAATAGGTGTTAAGTTTTAGATTATTTGCAGACTAAATTTCGAGTTAAAAAACGAACCTTTAAAAATCCCAAAGAGAGAGACAGAAACACAATTGCCTCAGAATTTCAGCTATTTCCTGCTTAACATATTGTAGACTAGCACAGACCATTGGAATTCTTTAACAAAGAGGGAGTTTCCTTCATATTCATCAGAATCATTCCTGGAAGTCATTCCACTTTGCAAACCCCACAGTAAACCGAGGCAGAGCTCCATCAGAAACTTGTCTGCTAGGCATGACTTAGTATTTTCTTGACAACTGATCTACACATCAAGGAAGCTGAGCTAGGACCCCTGGAGTTTGATAACCAATGTTGAGAGTCTTTCCTGAAATAAACATTCCTTTCACCAAAAAAGGTTTTAACCCCTTCAAATGCATTTTTCAGCTGGATTTGATCCAAATTTGTTCCCTGTCCATCGTACCCTGGGACATTCTGGTCTCAGTTAAGTGCAACAACTCACTAAATTCCAAATTGGTCAGTGGCTGCACAGGTCCTCTGGAGTGTGCAACTCACTCTGACCCCTCTCATTCAGGCCTTGCTGCCTGACACCCCTTTGTCCCTACACAGCAGTTTCCCATCTGCCCTCCACGCTTGCTGTTTTTCTCTCTCTCAGCACACCCGTCCTGCCCTCCCACCTTCCCAGCACACTGCACTCACTTTCCCCACTGCAGGAGTACAATTCCCCCAGTCTTTCCCCGGTGCAGAGAGCCCCACCTCATCCAGAGTGGAGCAGTCAATACGACCATAACCTCTCTGTCTTTAAAGTTTTATTTTAAAGTGAATACTGGATTTTTTCCATTTATTAAGATTATTTTTTGTCTTTAAAATAAATAGGGATACTGCTTTTCTTTCTGCAATACAGCACACATTTTTAACATATTATACTACTGGTGAAAAATAAAGATTAACTGGGGTACTATTTCCAAATATCCTTCACTATCTTTACCTCTACTAACCCAAGAAAATTGGCAGCCCATATAAGAAAGGGCATATTCACACAATTCAGAAATGGACAAAATAATGGAAACTGTGTCAAAGTGAGTCAGATATGGTCTGGCAATAGAATACCAGGATAACACTGCATTAAG